ATTCCTGCTACCCCTCTTTCTTAATATGGTCCTCTCGTAATCCTGTGTACCAAGTAGGTAAAGACTAGGCTCAGCTCACTTTAGGGGCCCATGGTATTGCTTCATTTCACACAGTCAGCACCAGCACCCTGCAAAGACAGTTACTGCTGGTTTGCTTAAGGGAAGCTCTGCAATTGCCCCAACGTCCTTTGAGTCACATTTTCAGTGTTGCTTCAGGTCTCCCTGACGGACTGCAGGAAAAGCAGAGGCCTTTTACAGATAGGTGCCATGGGTGTGCTCTTTAAGGCTGTGCCAAGAGATGGATGTAGACAGTATACAGTGGACACCAGCAGAAGTTGCATGGAAATAGTACAAAGACCAAAGTTAAGCCGATGTTTTAGCTATAGTCCCTGCCAAAATGCATATCACTTAAACAAAAGCACACAAGCATTATGTTTTGCAGTTACTAATTCTGTTTTTGAGTTACTAATATTTCTACCTTTGATTCTGATTTTGCCAATAAAGAGGAGTTGCGAGCACAATAGTCCCTATGAACAAAGGTCAAGAGGACTGAATATAAGGAAAACCCCAGCGCTGCCAAATGCAGAAGCTCTTGTAAACAATGGGGCAATGGTTTACTTGGATGTGCGTGGGGTATGGATGTTTGGATCTCTTCCTTTTGTTTTAGAGAGGAATGTGATCCTAAACAGCAGCTCACTATTGGGCAGGACTTTATCCCTCCGTGGGGACCGCAGAGGAAGATCCTCTGGATACTGGGACCCCTTCTGTGTTAGAGCCCCTAACTAGTCCCAGTGCAATCCCCTCCCACACACACTTTGAACTCCCACTCCTATAGCAGCTCTGCTCCGAACTGATATTCTACAGGGGAAAGAGGAACTGAAAAAGGCGTAGGGAAGGAATCGACGAAATGAAACTTGGCTTCATCGTCTGCTCCTCACCGCCCTACTCTCATTGAAGCAAATATACCAGGAGGCTCTGGGATAGATGGTGTGGGGCAGTAGCATATGGGGCTGGGCTCTTTAATGCATCACAGATTAAGTACCTCATAGTTTTGGCACACTAAGCAGTGCATCCTTTCAGAAATGAGAGTACCATGGAGGCCATGCTGGCAGCACATCATCCCTTCTCTGACAAAACAGGAGATCTGAGTAACAGGAGAGACTTTCTCACCCTGTTTTTCTCAGCAGACACAACCCTGTCCTAGCGAGACCCTCTGCAGTCCCTTCTTCTGACATGAGCACAGTTGAACTGAGACCATGTTTGCACACCCATATGGGAGAAGTTCAGACTAACCTGGCATATAATGATGGGCAATCCTGCTGCTGAGACAAGGCAAAGACAGGAGCCAGTAGGCAGCACGGAGGTGGGAAGCAACTGGCAGATGCTCTTCAAGAGCCTGGCACCAGCGCTGGCACAGCCCTGCCAGGCAGGCTCCAAACCTTGCCGCAAACCCAGCTCTTACTGGGACACCCCCTGTGCCCAGCCACATGTCACAGGAACAGTGAGGCACTTCTTGCACAACTCCTCCTTAGACATCTCGGCAAGACTGTGCTATTACTTCGATCTCTTGTACCTATTTTTAGGAGAAGTATTGCCAGGATAGTTTATGAGAACAGTAAATCACAACAGAGGGCAGTCTACATGGAGAGGAGGTTTTGATATCAGCAGAGCGTGTTACGAACCAGCAAAAGCAGAACAGCAGACAGTGACTGGAAGCTGAAACTAGACAGGCTCAGATTGAAAAGAATCTGCCAATCATAAGTATCGACTGGAACGGCTTACCAGGGGGCTGTGCCCTTCTTGTAGTTCCTCCATCGAGATTAAGTGCCACTTTCTAGAAGATCTGCTCTATTCCAATCAGAGAAAAAGATGGGACCCTGAGGCCCCTGCAGAAGCTCGGGCTGGGTGGGCTAGCAATCCCTTCTGCCTTCCAAATCTTGCAACTCCAGCAGTGCCTTTGAGCTGAAACACTTACGCCACTCCCCTCACTGTCACTTCTGGGAGTGTTACCAGCTGCTGTGGTGGTTGTGGACAGGCAGATCTGGACCTGAAAAGGATGTCTGCAGCACACCGTTGAGGAAACAGGAAACCTGAACAATGTGAGCCGAGCAGAGTACGTGTGACCCCAGTGAAATCCTCCTGCATCGGTATTTGCTGCCTGGAGAAGGGACCAAAGTATCTCTCAAAATATTCAAAACCAAGAACACAAGCACTTCCCTCCTACAAGGCTTCTTAGGATCAGAAGTCCGTATAGTAGGGGTACAGGCAGCGGTAGACAAGAGCCAGCCACCCAGCAGGCCCCATTCTCCACGACAAGTGATGGTTTTCATCTGCTGTCTGCAGAAACACAGGGACAAGAGTCTCCTGATATATGCACAGCAGAAATGAACCAGAAATGAGCAGCAAATGCAAAAAGTATTTCAATGCAGGGAGGGCACTGGACCTGTTCAGCACCAAACCATGTGAGAGAGCTTGCAAAGGTAAGCACACGAAATAAGAGCAGATCTATGGTGTTAACCCACCTAGTCCAGGACACCAGTGCTGACAAGAGGCAGAAGGATGTGCTTTTTAAGGCAGAGCACGTGAACCTGACCATTACCTGTGGCCCATTCTCCCCGCATCCACAGGCATTGGGTTAGGGATGTCAGGGAGAGGAGGACAAACAGTGCGGGCAGGACAACCACCCCACAGCATCACTGCCTACCCAGATGTGACAGTCTTGGGGACAAGATTTCACCTGTGTGCTGTTAAGCACAAATTGTCTAGAAGTGTGTCTGAAGAAAATGACCATGGGTCAGACATCCTGGATGCTCCATGCAAAAAACAGCATCAGCTATGGCCTGCACACTGGAGGCCTGGCACTCGCTGTCTAGCTGAGCCAGCTCAGAGCAGGGCAGCACACCCGGCGGGGAGGCAGGGGGGTGCCTCTCCCACTCCAGCTCCTCTGACTTTCTGACTATTTTGTTTTCCTTTTCTTTCCTGCTCTTTTTGATCAAGTTAGCAGCAGCCCAACTCATCCTGTTCCAGACCACCTGGCAATGTGGTCCCATCCCAGTGGTGGAAAATAAGAGAGCCAAAAGCGGTTGTATGCAGCAAAGTGAGGCAACAGGGAGTGAAGGGCCTGCACACATCAGTCCATCCCATGCTGACTGAGCCCCGAGACAAGTTCAGCCTTGCTCAACAGAGGAAAATCACTTCCCATTTTCAAACTGCAGGAAATCCCCATTCCCCTTCAAAGGGGGATCCTAGGGAGGAAACATCTGTGCACTTAAAAGCCTGAGCTCCCTGAAGATGTGCTAGATCGCACCGCTCTCCAGCCGAGTGCAGCCCAGTGGGTCTCCTGAACACACAGCCCAAGGTAAAGCAAAACAATTGAAAAACCACAAATGCAGGCCCTGAGCAACCTGATCTAACTCTGAACAGGAGGTTGTACCAGAGATGTCCAAAAGTCCCTCCCAATTTAAATTCTTTCACGGTTTTATGTTCCTATTTCAACAGAGCATCCAGCCTTGGAGAAAATTACGAGGATGCCTCTAGCTGGGGGAAAGGTTTGAATTAAATGCAGTGTCAGTACACTTACCCACTGTTGCCACTTGCTCAGTCACAGTGCACATTTGCTGAGATCAAACAGCACAAAGAAAGGCTACAGAGTCCAGCTAAGCAGCTCCCCTGCAGTGTCCTGCCCAGTGCTGGAGGATCACTGGGGACTGAAAGCTCAACAAAGCGTGCAGGGGAAACTCCCTGTCAGAAGCAATGCAAGGACACAGCAGGGGAAAACTGCCACAACATGCACCTGCAGCAGAACAACCCGCTGTCCTGCGGGGAGAAGCTTGCCCTGTGCTGACATTACTGAGCTTATGTTTCAGTCGAACTGCAGTTCTCATAAATACCTAACTTGGCAAAGGTGTGTGTCAGCCCAAGGGTATGAAGCAGAAATATGGCAGACACGCTGCAGTCAAAGAAGCAGGGTCTCTGAATGCAAACAGGATCTGCTGGTGAGGGAAGTCCACAGAAGACCCTTGGCAGCAGAGATGTCTACACCAACACTAATGTCCATCCCAAGTTTGGCATGAAGATCCCAGCACTGAGAAGTGCCCCGCAGACCCTCCCCAGCCTGGGCATGGGCATGCCCATACTAACGTGTGCCCTGGCAAAGGGGGATGCCCGGGGCGGCTCTGAACCCCCCGGCACCACCCGCAGTCTCTCTCTTTCTGGTACTTTGAGTCACTCTGTATTTTGTTCATTTTTATGCAATCCTTCTTGCTCAACATTTGGTTTCCATGGAGTCACATACACTGTGTGAAACAGATTTATATTTAGAAAGTGAAGCGGGTCATATGACCTGTCCCGGTTGTCACGGCAACCAGCACAGCTCCCGTTTGGCTGTCTCTGGTAGCACATGGCTGCTGGGGACAGGTCGTCCTCCCTGGGTGGCCCTGTGGGCATCGCTGCCCCTCCAGCCCTCCCAGCCGGGCCGGGGGCATTCCTCTTCTCTGGGCACCGTGCCTGTCTCAGGCCACCTTCTGTAACACAGCCCTCTTCCTCGCAGAGGAACAGTCCCTTTGCCTGTGCCGAGTGTTAGGGTGTCTCGGAGCGCTGCTCGCGCTGCCAGGCTGCAGCCATGGGCTGAGCTATGCCCAGCACATACCCCACACGCCAGCCTGGCAGGACAGCTCTCATTTTTCCCAGTCTTAAAAATCTCCCTGCCCTAATAAGTCTCCTCTGTGCCATGCCAAAGTCTTCTTTGCTTCTTCTTCCTCCTAAACAACTTCAGCATCTCTGTGCAGCTGCTCTTTTCTTGGATGCCACCTCTGCCACCTTCCTGCCTACCCACCATAGCTGTGACCAGGAGGAGGACCAGGTGTCCCTCGTGCATGGGTCTCTGCTCTGGGCCCAACTCTCCTGTAGCTCCACATCCCTGTCTTTCCCATTTGGCTCTGGAATGCAGGGTGCATGCTTCCCACCCAGCTCTACCTTCCCCGCTGAGGGTCTGCTCCCCTAGCAAGATCCACAGCTGCCAAAATCCTCCCTCCTCTCCCACCCAGGTCCCTGGCTGCAGTGCAGGCATGTGCCCAGGACTTTGTGTTAACACACATGAACAGCACTGTGCTTGCAGAGAATCAGCCTTCTGGGACTGGTATACTTTCCTTTGCCTGTACCTTAGACTGGGGAAAACCAAACTGTTTCTGAAGGATACATGACCCAGGGAGACAAGCTGGGTGATGTTTTCTAGCTCAGTGCTGTGTGAGAGACCAAAATGGGTGGGAAGAGAAATGCTCTGATACGTGAATCCCACCTAAGACCCCTTCAGAACAGGAGCTGTTGAGCCAGAGGCGAAATGTCTGAGTAACTCCCGTGCAGCTCAGTCCTCTCCCTTCGTTCTCAACGTGTGCCTGGTGAACGAAGCCACATCAGGGGCCAGACTGGGAAAAGCCACAGCACTGAGCTGCAGCTGAGCCTGTCCACTGTGGCGCGTCTCATGGGACCCACGGCACCAGGTCTGGTCCAGATCCTGCTGCAGACAGTGCTCACTCCCTGACAAAGCAGCAGTTCAGGGAGGAGTTTGGAAATGGCTACAGACTTTTTTTGGCTGAGGAGAGGAAAGCTAGGCAGGTGTAAGGAGCAGGAAAGGCAAGAAAGAAGGGGGGGACATTCAATGTGGGGAAAGAGCATGGGAGTGGGGCCCTGATTTGGGAAGGGTGGTTAGCAAGAAAGAGAATAAAAAGCCTGTGCTGGCTCCCGATTTGAGGAGTAGTAGCTGTGGCAGGAGGGGGAGCACAGCTGGCAGACAAGGACAGCCCAGCTGCTGGCGTTCTCGCCTCTTGCTCTGCCGGAGCTCCCAGCATGCTCCCAAGAGAGTTCATTGCTTTCCTGTGCTCCCTTCTCAGTGCACTCACAGCGCGTGTGAGTGCTACCCTGTGACAGTATTTAGCACTATCTGACAAGGGCATAGAGTCCTGGCCCTGAATTAGCAACCAAGAAAGCAGGAACCAAGTATTACCCTCACAGCAGGTGCGGAAGACCCTGAACAGCCAAATGGGAGAGGTGTCTGCTCTGAGCAAGAAAGCCTGTCCAGAACATGGTGACCATGGCTACACGCACATGTGTATCCCTGCAAGTACAATGCATGTATACCCACAGGGAGCTCAAGAATCACCCCCTAGGAAAACACATGGTTGTTCTACCTTTCTGTGCTAATAGACAAAAAATCATTGACAAATCTGTCCCATTCCCTTTGAGCACTCCCTCCTGACTAGTGTTATCCAGCCAACCTATGCCTGGAAAGGTGATGGCCAGAGTAAGACTGGATGGGAAAGAAGCTGCGGGTGGTCACATCGGGCAGCAGCAAGGAGCTGGCACTGCTAGGTGGAGTTTCTCCAGCGTGGCCTGGGAAGGCCAAGGAGGGGTCAACCTGGCAGAGTGCTGTGATGAAGGGCTCAGCTCCACACAGGATGGAGCACAGCAGAACAGCAACACAGAGGGACAATGATGGGTGGGGAACCGAGATAACCTAATCCCAAAAACAGAGCACCCCACCTGGAGCCTCCCCTGTGCATGAGAGCAATGAGCCCCATTGTCTGGGATGAAAATCATCACGATGAGTCAAGGGAAAGGCTCTCCAGATCCTCTTACAGACTGATACTGCCTGTAGGGGTATGGGACTCATTATGGGATGCAGGCAAAGAGCATCTTTCGATTATACAAGACAAGGGATGGGTAGGGGAAGAAACAAAAGTGGGGGAAAGGAGGAAACCAGTGTGGGAAAACAGACAGGTAAGAGGAATAAAACAGCTAGTCGTGTCTAAATGGCCAGC